AAATTTAAGATAGAAAACAATATAAGGGACAAAGCTGAGTTGCCTTTGGCTTTTGGTATTGATTTGTCACCACATGCATTCCACTTTGCACTACATAAATCCACTTTGGACCCTCAAATTTTGCCTCTCCTACAAGAAAAGCATACACATTCCTCCTCTTCCTCATATAATTTCAAGTCCCACTTCTCTGTATACTCTTCCTCCTATAGACTTACACAAACATCTTTTAGTGTTTTTGTTATCCAAAGAAAGAGAATATTGAGACAAGACTCTTGTAGTTATATTGAGAGTATGAGAGGTGGAGGTTGCAGTGTCCAACAAGCCCTTACGCCTGAGGCTGGGAACATGGTGAAACAAGCCATGGCCTTGGCGAGACAGCGTGGTCATGCTCAGGTCACGCCTCTCCATGTAGCTAGCACCATGCTCTCTGCTCCCACTGGTTTACTCAGAACAGCTTGTCTTCAATCCCACACTCATCCTTTTCAATGCAGAGCACTTGAGCTCTGTTTCAATGTCTCCTTGAACCGTCTTCCAACTTCCACAGGGAGTCCTATATTGGTTCCTTGTATATCTAACGCTCTGGTTGCAGCTTTCAAGCGTGCTCAGGCTCACCATCGACGTGGTTCCATAGAGAACCAGCAACAACCAATCTTAGCCGCTAAGATTGAACCTGAGCAGCTCATAATTTCCATTCTTGATGATCCTGGTGTGAGCAGAGTGATGAGAGAGGCTGGTTTCTTCAGCCCTCAAGTGAAGAGCAAGGTGGAGCTAGCTGTGTCTTTGAAGATTTCTTCCAATAAACCAAAACCAAGCAAGTTGCTTACTAAGGCACTCAAGAACTTTAGGTAACCTCTCTTCTTTTTGAAACTACTAAGGTTTGGTCATAAACAACTAAGATTTGGTTACTGTCTTTATTCAAATAGTGAGGTCGAAAATGAAACCATCCAAGAATGCTCAACGATGAAGGAAGCAGATGGTAAGAGAAGTAGCAATGTGATCACCACACTCCCAACGTGGCTTCAGCTATACAAGGAGGAAAATCAACATAAGGATACTGTGAGTTCTGATTCTCATCATTCGTATTGTAAGTATTGGTTTGTGTCTTAACATTTGGTATTGTTTTGGATTTGATAGGATTCAGATAACTCAATCTGTGATTCAATCCACAAAAGACCATTTGAGAAAACCCTAGACCT